AACAGAAATCAGATATCACAGTATGATTTTTTTTATTATCATTACTTTATATATAAAGTATTTGCCGCATATATACCGCATTTGGCGCTTGACGAGTGTTAATTTTAGGCCCTGTATATGTTGTAATTATTTATTCTTATTCAATTATATTAATATTAATAAATATATATAAATATATATAATATAATTAATTTTTATTTCTCAAACAACTTTTTTTAAATCATTTTAAAATAATTTTATTGTTTTTTCTTTTTAGTAAAAGGTTTAGTTTTGTTAATGAAAACATTTTACTCAAATTATGAATAATTTTTCACTTTTTTGTTTTATTTATTTTTTATTATTATTTGTTTTTACTTCAGGAAATCAACCAAAAGTGCTCAGTGCTGTTGTAATATAGCAGCCACTTACACAAATGACAACACCTCAGTTCAATTCTACATGTTTGTTGTGACGCTGCTAGAAAATAACCTGCATGTGTCTACCAGTGTAGACAGTGCAATGAAACACTGAATGCGAACAGTGAACAGTGAACACTGAACAGTTTGCAGTCTGTGCCATGGTTTTCTCCTCTCGGTTGGTGACCATCTTCCATCTTCTTGTCTTGTTCAGAAGGTCTGATCTTTAGCAGCAGGGCAGCATGTGAATCCCGTGGCTCGTTCAATCATTTCAATGATCAGACGGCTCTTTATCGAGTGTGAAAGTGTGAACAGCAGTCTCACATGTCTCTAATTCCTACAATTCCTGTGTCTTTTCTCTCCTACAGTCACAATGAGAGAAAGGTGACCTGCAAGCATCCCGTCACAGGCGTTCCTTCGCAAGACAACTGCATCTTTGTCGTCAACGAACAGTGAGTCATTTCTTTCTCTCTCTCCAGTTTCCTGCAGCATCGAGTCAGAAACAGAGTGCTTTGTCTGAACTTCACACAGAAATCACATTCATGCTGCCTAATGTGTTTCTCTACTGTTATATCACTGAGACACTGGACAGTAATGTTTTGGGGTGTATTGAATATTGGTTAATAGCGGGTGTAAAGAAACATAGAAATGAGATAATTAAAGTACCTCATTCAAGTCAAAAGATTGTTTTTCTGGGTAACTCGGCACAAAAAGGCATTATTATTTTCCATTAGTCGACTGATGGGTACATGAGGGAATCTCACAAAAATATGGTCAGGAAAAAA